AAGCCACTGGGGAGCTTGGGGACCAGGCCCTGTGTGCCAGCCTGTACGGCAACTCACTCACCGACCGCATGCTGTGCGCCGGCTACCTGGACGGCAAGGTGGATTCTTGCCAGGTGCCCCCCGGGGCCCGCAGGGGCCCCAGACAACGCCCCACCCAAGGAGGCGGCTAGAGAGGGCCCCCAGGTTTCTATCCTCGCTTTTCAGCACAGCTCTGGATTTCCTTCTTTGTAGGTTTTTATTTCTGTGTGTTGTCCTTTTGGGGGAAAAGAGAGAGAAACATGGATTGGTTGCCTTCTGCGCGATCCCAGATCAGGGCAGAGGAATCAAACCTGCAACCCAGGTGTGTATCCTTGACTGGGAATCGAACCTGCAGTGCGTGGGCCCACGCTCTATCCACTGAGCCACACTGGCCAGGGCTGCAGTCTATATGTTTGTTCTCATTTCTAAAGCCTGGTGGGTGAGGAGAGACTGCTACATGTGCTCAGGTTGCCATAGCAAAGAACCCAGAACCTGGAGGAAGTGTTGGGAAATAATGAGAGAGCACTGGTGATGGTCGGAGACTTGACTTGGGGTGGTGCACACACAATACAGGGCACAGATGACGTGTTGTAGATTGTGCACCTGAAACCTGTATAATTCTGTTAACCAATGTCACCTCAATAAATTAAAAAGATAAAATGGGCCCTGGCCCTTGGTGGTTTGGCTCAGTGGATAGAGCGTCAGCCTGCGTAGTGAAGGGTCCCGGGTTTGATTCTGGTTAAGGGCACGTGCCTGGGTTGTGGGCTCAATCCCCATTGGGGAGCATGCAGGAGGCAGCCAATCAATGATTCTGTCTCATCATTGATGTTTCTATCTCTCTCTCTCCCTCCCTCTCCCTTCCTCTCTGAAATCAATAAAAATATTAATTAAAAATAAAATAAAACGAGCCCTGGCCCGGTAGTTCAGTTGGTTAGAGCATCCTCCCGATACACTGAAGTTGTGGGTTCGATCCCAGTCAGGACACATACAAGAATCAGTGAATGCATAAATAAGTAGAACAACAAGTCTCTCTCTCTTTTCCTCTCTCTCTAAAAATCAACACATCCAAATAAAACGGGGCCCTGGCCAGTGTGGTTCAGTGGGTGGGGTGTCACCCCCCACGCACCAAAAGGTTGCCAATTCAATTCCCGGTCAGGTCACATTCCCGGGTTGCAGATTTGATCCCTGGTAGGGGGCATGCAGGAGGCCAACCTATCGACGATTCTCTCTCTCTCTCTCTCTCTCTCTCTCTCTCTCTCTCTCTTTCTCTCCCCCTCTCCCTTCCTCTCTCTCTAAAAATCAATAAAAAATATTTTAAAAATAAAATGGGGAAAAAGAAATAACAAGAAAATGCTTGTGTTTGAGAATGTGAGTCCAGGTGAGCTGGGTGTGAGGAGATGGCAAGGCTCACAAGACAGGGTAAGTGAGGAGTGAGCCGGCACGTCCGAAGAAGGCCCCGCGGCCAGTGAGCTGTCCGTGGCTCCAGCAGGGCAGCCACACTGCCCACCTGAGCAAGGGCGACGCCAGCGAGATGCAGTGAGATACGGGGGGCAGAGGACGCTGCTGACGCGGCTGGGTTTTGAACTGCTAGTGGTAGAACTGAAAGATCTTCAAGATCCCACGGTCCTACCGCCCTATTTTATTTTTAGGAAAGAGGAAACGGAGGTTCTGAGATGTGAATTATCAGCCCCCATTTCCTCCATGAGCTTGTGTGGGGAGAGGGCCCCACCCAGGGACGGTTCTCGGACCCTGCAGCTCTGGGACCTGGAGCCCGGGAGCCCTGACTCCTCCTGAGGGTGTGCCTTTGTCTCCTAGGGCGACTCAGGAGGCCCCCTGGTCTGTGAGGAGCCCTCTGGCAGGTTCTTCCTGGCGGGCATCGTGAGCTGGGGCATCGGCTGTGCGGAAGCCGGGCGTCCAGGGGTCTACGCCCGAGTGACCCGGCTGCGAGACTGGATCCTGGGGGCGGTCGCCATGGCGAGCAAGCCTCTGGCTCCCACGGAGGCTCCTGCCCCTGCCACCCCCAGCACTGTCTGGTCCACCAGCCACAAGAGCCCAGTGGTCAACACCCCCACGAAACCCCCAGCGGCCCCCAGCTCCGCACCTGACTCAGCGACGGCCTCTAAGCCACAAGGTATTTCCTGGGGAGACAGGCAGGGGCGGCGTGTGCTCCCTGCAGGGTCGGATCGATTGGTACTGGCTTCGTGAGGACTCCGTAGGGAAGAGATGGGTGATGGATCAGTGATGTCTGTCATGAGCACAGGCTAAGACACACCCATGGGCATCCTTCAGATTCACGGCCAAGGAAAGTCAAGCAATCCAATAGGGTAAACACAGACTACCTGTGGGGCCAGGGTGGGAGACAGACTGAGTTTTCACATGCGGGTGCCCTCCAGAAACACCACATAGAGCACGTCTGTGTACATTTTCATATCCAAGAGCCCTCACTTCAAAACTGTCCTGGACAAGCTTGCATGCTTCCTTTTCCATGTAAAATCCAGCGTACGTGGGTTTTTTACTTTCATTTTTAATTGTGGTGACACACACACAACACAACATAAAGCCAACCATTGTGAACATTTGGGAGTGTCCGGTCCAGGAGTTCAGTCGCTTCACCTGTTGGACTTGGGTCTTGAAACACATTCACCTCTGTCTTTGGGGTGTCCACGGACCCAGATCTGATAGGGATCCTCCTTTAGGTCCCACAAAACCCCGATGCTCCGAGCCCATCAGAACTCTGTTCCACAGGAGTGTCCCCTGTCCTCTGCCCCCTCCCAGGATCCCACAGTAACCTGACCCCCCCTTTGTTTGGTGAGACCCCCACCGGGGTTCTGCTGTGCGGGCTCCCCCCTTGTAGCAAGCTCATCACCCGACCTTGGGGGCTTCAGGTCTGTGTCTGGGTTCGGGTCTTAGTCCGATGGGGCCAGGGCACTTCATAATTTTATCTTCTCTTTTTTTGAATCCTCACTCGAGGACATTTTTCCCATTAATTAATTTATTTACTTACTTATTTATTTTTGTTAATCCTCACTCGAGGATTTTTTTAGAGTGGAAAGGAGGGGGAGAGACAGAGAGAGAGAAACATCTGTAACTCACATTGCTTGGTTGCCCCTGGCACGCGCCCCGACTAGGGGCCAGGGATGGAGCCTGCAACCCAGGTACGTGCCCTTGACCAGAATCAAACCTGCCACCCTGTCCAAGGGCAGATGCTGTGCCCACTGAGCAAGCAGCCAGGGCTAGCTTCTCATTTTTAACCGACTCCCCCCAGCTGTGCCACATACTTGCTGCTAGTCCTTTGGAAATTAGGGCACCTTGAAGCCTCTGTGACCCATCTGTATAATGGGAGGGGTTTGCCCCGGCCCAGTCAGAGCCCGGGGGCTGCACCTGGTGTGTGTGTGGGGGCCCTTCTAGGCTCAGGTGCGCCCACTCGGAGCTCAGGCGCCGGTCTCTTCTCCCCCCCAGAGTGCGGCGCCCGACCGGCAATGGAGAAGCCCACCCGGGTCGTGGGCGGGCTGGGAGCCGCCGCGGGGGAGGTGCCCTGGCAGGTCAGCCTGAAGGAAGGTTCCAGGCACTTCTGCGGAGCAACTGTGGTGGGAGACCGCTGGCTGCTGTCAGCAGCCCACTGCTTCAACCAGTAAGACCGGCCCCGGCCCAGGAGGCCTGCTCAGCTCCCTCGTCCCCACTGGGTCCCCTGCCCCATGCGTTCAGAAACCATGTGTGGCCATCTATGCGCGAGGGTGGCCACGGCAGAGCCCCCTCCCCCAGCCCCCACCTCCCCCGGCTCACGATCCTGCTGTCTGGATGTCTGGTTGCAAATGAGAGGGGAGCATGAAGGAGAAGTGGGGGACCCCGGAGGAGCCATCTCAGGGGAGAGTAATCTGTCAAGCTGATCTCCGGGGAGCACTAGGGGTCAACTGGGGAGGGGACAGGCAGGCGGCACTGACCTTTGAGTCATAAAGCTGCCGGGGCCTCTTGTGCTGCTGGGCCAAGTCCTTCTTGTTACAGACCAGGAAATGAGGCCCAAAGGGGCTCCCTGTCTTGCCCCCAGCCCCCCAGTTTGGGACTGCTTTGGAGGAGCAGCCGTGTGGCCCCTCCACCCCCCTGGGGCCCCTCCCCAGAGTCTGGGCCCTGCAGTTCTGCCCGGCTTCCTGGGGCAGCAGGTGTGTCTGAGTGGCCCCTTGTTGGCAGCACAAAGGCGGAGCTGGTGCAGGCCCACCTGGGTACGGCGTCTCTCACGGGCATCGGCGGGAGCCCGGTGAAGATGGGGCTCAAACGGACGGTGCTGCACCCCCAGTACAACCCCAGCATCCTGGATTTCGATGTGGCCATCCTGGAGCTGTCAGGGCCCCTGGTCTTCAACAAATACATCCAGCCCGTCTGCCTGCCCCTGGCCATCCAGAAGTTCCCCGTGGGCCGCAAGTGCATGATCTCAGGATGGGGCAACACGCAGGAGGGAAATGGTGAGTGCCCGCCTGGTGGGGCCCGCTCCCAGTGCCTGCACACCCCTGGCCTCTGCACTCCTCCAGCCACGGGCCCAAGGTGGCTCTTTTTCATACATGAAATCCAACTGGCACACAGCAAAGCCCACTTGTTGACCGATGATCTGTGGTGGCTTTCCTGCTGCAAAAGCAGAGCTGAGTAGCCCCGACAGAGTCTGGCCTGTAAAGCCGACAATACTTACCCTGTGGCCCTTTCTGAAAAAGTTCCAGACCCTCGTGCTGTGCCCTGCAGAGCCCCAAGAGTTAATGCTTCCTCAGTGGCGCCCCGCGGGTCACCCAGGAGGCTCCGGGAATTCGCTTGGGACATGGCAGATGCTAGGGCTCCGGGGGCTCTGGGCTCCGCCTCCTTCTTGCCACGTGACTCCGTTTCCCAGCAACACTGTGAGCCTCAGTTTCTTCATCTGCAGGATGAGGAGGGTGCCTTTCAGAGCTGAACCAGATACTGAACGGTGATCACTCTGTGTCGTTATGGGGGGGGGTCTCCTTTTCCTGGCAGCTACCAAGCCAGACACTCTGCAGCGAGCTTCCGTGGGCATCATAGACCAGAAGGCGTGCAGTGCCCTCTACAACTTCTCGCTCACAGACAGGATGCTCTGTGCCGGCTTCCTGGAGGGCAAGGTGGACTCCTGCCAGGTAGCATTCAGAGGGCACTGAGCGGGATTCAGACGAAGAGCTCACACCTGCCCCGGGCAATGCTCCTTTGTTCAGATCTGAGGATCTTCAGTGCAGGGGAAATCGGGAGTTGAACTGAATGTCTTTAAATGTATAATTTAGAGAAACCCTAGTATGTCGCAGCAGAAGAGGAGGTAGCCGTTTAAAAGTGCGTGGTAGGCCTGGCCGATGTGGCTCAGTTGGTTGAGTGCTGTCCCATGCATGCACCGCGAGGTCTCCAGTTTGATTCCCAGTCCGGGCACATGCCCAGGTCTAGGCTCGATCCCCGGTAGGGGTCATGCAGAAGGTAGCTGATCGATGTTTCTCTCTCCCTCTCCCTTCCTCTCTCTCTAAAATCAAAATAAAACTATAGTTTAAAAAAAATCTATTTAAAAAGTTTTTAAGAATGTGGTAGATATATACAAAATGTATATATACTTCAATATATCTATATGCATACTTAAAGTCATATTTTATATGTACATATTTAAAAAGAGATACAGCTCTATCCACTGAGCCAAACCAGCCAGGGCAGGTACAGTGTATTAACTGAAATAAAGCTAACCCCAGATTAGTACCCATATGACCACACTGTCCAACAGGATTCACTCCTGGGGAGGTGGGGCATGGGGATGAGGGCGGGGCTGTCTCAGACCCTGTGGCCCCGTGTCCCCATGCCCTGTCCTCTTGCTCCCCTGATGGGCCTCTCCCACAGTGGGAATGCGGGAGGTCCTGGCAGTGCCCTCTGCAGAGAGGTGCCCGACGGTCACAGCCAGCCCTCTCTCCTTCTTTTTAGGGTGACTCTGGGGGCCCCCTGGCCTGTGAGGAGACCCCTGGTGTGTTCTATCTGGCGGGGATTGTCAGCTGGGGGATTGGTTGTGCTCAGGCTAAGAAACCCGGCGTGTATGCTCGCATCACCAGTCTGAAGGGCTGGATCCTGGATATCATGTCCTCCTCCCCCCTGCCCACTCCTGCCCCCTCCACTGCTAGGACGCCTGCCACCACCACGCATGTCCCCAGGACAGTGGCTGCCCTCACAGTCCTGGGGGCCACAGCCAGCACACCCGCCCCCTGGATCCCCAGCAAGGCAGCCAGCCAACCTGCCAACAGCACCGCCAGTGCCGCGAGCACCACTGCCGGGGGGCAGACACCACTTCCAAACGCCTCGCGGACCACCAAGGACGCCCGGCCACCAGGTACTGGGAGGAATGGGGTGGCGCATGTCGGTGGCAGGGGTCTGGTGTCGGTCTGTCAGGGCGGCTGTCCGCATCCCACAGGCTGGGGGCGTACACAGCAGACATTTACAGCATCCCACAGGCTGGGGGCGTACACAGCAGACATTTACAGCATCCCACAGGCTGGGGGCGTACACAGCAGACATTTACAGCATCCCACAGGCTGGGGGCGTACACAGCAGACATTTACAGCATCCCACAGGCTGGGGGCGTACACAGCAGACATTTACAGCATCCCACAGGCTGGGGGCGTACACAGCAGACATTTACAGCATCCCACAGGCTGGGGGCGTACACAGCAGACATTTACAGCATCCCACAGGCTGGGGGCGTACACAGCAGACATTTACAGCATCCCACAGGCTGGGGGCGTACACAGCAGACATTTACAGCATCCCACAGGCTGGGGGCGTACACAGCAGACATTTACAGCATCCCACAGGCTGGGGGCGTACACAGCAGACATTTACAGCATCCCACAGGCTGGGGGCGTACACAGCAGACATTTACAGCATCCCACAGGCTGGGGGCGTACACAGCAGACATTTACAGCATCCCACAGGCCGGGGGCGTACACAGCAGACATTTACAGCATCCCACAGGCTGGGGGCATACACAGCAGACATTTACAGCATCCCACAGGCTGGGGGCGTACACAGCAGACATTTACAGCATCCCACAGGCCGGGGGCGTACACAGCAGACATTTACAGCATCCCACAGGCTGGGGGCCTACGCAGCAGACATTTACCGCCTCCCAGTCCTGGAGGCCGATGTCAGCAGGTGTCGGCAGGGCTGGTTTCTCCTGAAGCCGCTCTCCTTGGCCTGCAGACGGCCACCTTCTCCCCGTGTCCTCACAGAATCGTCCCTCTGTGTCATCACTTCTTAGAAGGACTCCAGTCACACTGGATTAGGACCCACCCCGATGGCCTCACTGTGCCGTAACCACTCTTTACAGGCCCCGTCTCCCCACAGCCACATTCTGATGTCCTGGAGGTCAGAGCTTTAACTACGGCTTTTGTGGGGACACAAGTCTTCTCTCCCTCGCCCTGACAGCCAGGGACATGGGCATGGGCATGGGCATGGGCATGGGCATGGGCGGGCACTGAATGGGCAGACTGGCACCACCTAGTGGCAAATGTCTTAACCTGCAACCCCTGCCAGCTCCCATTTTTTAAAAGGAAACTTCGGGGGGGTACACAGGGGAGTCCCTGACCAGGGTCTCCATGAGGGGAATTCTCCGTCCACTCATCCCACGCTCATAAAGCCCCCCTCTGGGCCAGACCCGCTAAGCTCAGGTACAGCAGGACCCAGAAGGTAGAGAAACCAACTCATGAGACGTACAGAGTGAGGCATGAAAGGAGGACCGAGCAGGACCGAGCAGGGCTGGGCCAGCTGGCCTCCCCGCTCCCGTTATGGCTGAGAGGGTACCTCACTGGCCAGTGTAGGTGCCGAGAGAGAACGGAGCCCTGAGATCGTTCCACTCGTGTCTAAAATGCTGAGTTCACTTTTACTAACTATTAACCAGAACTACTAGCGTATAAAACTGCTGCATTCGTCAGTTAAAGATAAAGCCCCATCAGCTACGGCTATCTCCTACGGCTCCCGCTAAGACTGAGCCAGCAGATGCCGTCTGTGGTGTGCGGGGGCCACAGAGAAAACACTGACTTCTGCATGGTGTGGGACTTGCCAGGTGCACCATGTTAGCGAGCCCACCCACTCCCCAGGCAGACATGAGCTCCATGCTCTCGTATCCAGATTCTGGGGGCCACGTCTGGGCTGCTTCCATTCAGGTGGGAGGCGGGGAGCAGGCTGCTCTGGTGAGCTCCCAAAGGGGGCAGATGCTCAGCACACAGGCGGCTGGTCCCTGCAGGCTGCACCCACCTTCCTCCTCACCCCGAACTTTCCCAGAACTTCCCACTGTCCAAGGCCCCCAGCACCTTCACGGTGACCCCTGCAGAGACTGGCCCAGGGAGGTTTCTCTGCCTCCCTCCTCCGTCACCAGTCCCCTCCCTGGGCTGCCGTAGGTCCATTGTCCTTCAGATGGGTCTGGGCAGGGGTGTGTGTGCATAACTTAACCCCATGACAGAGACGGTTGGGGAAAACTACCCATAATCCCACTGCTCCATCATATCCTCATGACATGTCGTGAGGGTTCTTACCTGTTCTCCCTGCACATGGTCATACAGTGGCCTGGCTCCATCAGCCTGTCACACCCCACACAGGCCTGAGCCCACCAAGCCAGATTCACAGGCTCCGCCACAAGGCAGCCGCACACCAGAGGCGCCAGGGATGGGTGGCCAAACAAAGCAAGTCCGGCCGTCAGGAAGCCAGGCTCGGGGGGCGAGTGCTGTGTCGGTGACCTTGAGATGAAGCAGAGCTTTCATGGGCTCAGACCAAAGCAGACCATGTGCCAAGGGCCTGGATGTGGGCTCGAGGGCGGGGAGGGTCTGGGTCCTGTCTCCTTGGGAATCAGTTAAGGCAGAGGTGGCACGTTGAGTCTGGAACCCCCTTATCTGAGCCCTGCACCTGGACCGGGAATCGAGGCGAAGTTTCGGGATTTAGACCCTCCAGACCCAAGTGGGGCCTTCCCTTCACAGCCTTCTCTGCCGCCTGGTTCGGGGCACAGGGTTTCCAGCCGGGGCACCCAGAGAATGCGGTGTGTGAGCCGGTGCAGCTGTAACCGTTCTTGGGAGAAACAGTTTCACTCCCCAGCTAGCTTCATGTGGCTCTGGCCTTTAGCCTGATTTTCACATTTCCCCCTAGCTACGGGCAGGCGTCCAGGAAAGGGAGCACAGCTTTGGCCCCGGGCAAGGTCCAGATGGTGTCAGGAGGGTAGCGGCGGTGGGGCTAGCAGGGACGGGGCAGGTGGCCTCTTGTCTCCCCAGCTCTTCTTCCAGCTGAGGCCAGAGCAGGAGCCTTTCCTCAATCTGGAGGGAGCGGAGGCAGCTGGGTGGTGGGAGTGGCTGGGAAGGGGCAGGCTCCGGAGCGGCCCTGTGGGAATCAGGTGGGTAGGCGAGCCCCTGACGGGTGCTCTGCAGCACCCTCCTGACACCACCCTGGTGCTTCCTACAGCTGTGTTCTGAGGGTGCACCTTGTGCTGGGGGTGACGGGCGTCACAACACAAGGGTGTCTGGGAAGACAAACTAGCACAGGAGCTGGTGGGCGAGCGGGGGCCTCCTGGCAGAGCGAAGGGGTGTGGGAAGATCTGAGCCAGCAGAGAACCCAGCTCCTGGTGGTGGGAGAGGACACTGTCCTGGTCCCCACCTGGGAGGACGCACGGCCCCAGTGCTGAGGTTGTAGGAAGCAGACTTCAATGCATTTCAAATATTACTTGGGAGAAGCCTAGAAGAGGCGTGTTTGTAGGACCAAGCACCGAGTCCAGTGTTAGTGTGTTTTTTCCAGGCAGGTCCCCCAAGGGGCAGTGTGAGAGGCACTGCATCCGCCCAATGCCCTCTGCCCGCTCTCCTGCAGACTGCGGCCTGGCGCCCGTGGCCGCGCTGACCAGGATCGTAGGCGGCAGCGCCGCCGGCCTCGGGGAGTGGCCGTGGCAGGTGAGCCTGTGGCTGCGGCGCCGGGAGCACCGCTGCGGGGCCGTGCTGGTGGCAGAGAGGTGGCTGCTGTCTGCTGCACACTGCTTTGACGTGTGAGTCTCACCTGCCCCCAGTGCCCCAGCCCATTGGTGGTTCACGGGAAATGACCCGTGGCCCCAAAACTCACTGTCATGTCCGCACGCCTTTTGCTCTTAATGCCCCCAACCCCCGCCACTGGGACCCACTGCTGCCCCTAGTCCGTGCAGCCCACCTCTGCACACTCACCACATGGGGCTGCAGGGATTCAATCCTACACACACGTACCCTGCCACACACCTCCCGCTCCACACCCAGGGCTGCAGCCTCTTCGAGTCCAGTGCCCAGCTTGGTGGTACATGGGGTCTCTGGGTAACAGACATCTCCATTCTCCAAAGGCCACACACTGGGGAGTCCCCTTCAGGGCAGGCTGCTCAGGGTGGAACAGGCCAGGGGCCCTACCCTCCTTGGAGAAAGCCAGTTCTTGGAGGCACATTCTGCACGCTCGCTGTAGAACAGGGTCAGAGGGAATGGGCAGGTGGGACAGGGGGCTCTCTGGCCACCAGAGCGCTAATATTGGGCAGAAATGGGTAATGTGACGTCACCTCATTGCTGTGGGTGCATTTCAGGCAAGCCCCCCTCACTGTCCCAGGAGGGATGACTCATCCCCATATCCACGAGCAACCCAGGGCCCAGAGGCCGAGTGCTCTGCCAAAGGTCCCTGACCACCCCCTGGGGCACAGGCAAGAACAAGGCCACAGCCCTGTGGGGCAGTCCAGAGGAGCCACAGGCAGGGGTAACTGGGGTGCGGGGATCCAGAACACCTGTCCCCACACACCCTACAGCTATGGGGATCCCAAGCAGTGGGTGGCCTTTCTGGGCACGCCGTTCCTAAGTGGCGCCGAGGGGCAGCTGGAGCGCGTGGCCCGTATCTACAAGCACCCCTTCTACAACCTCTACACGCTCGACTACGACGTGGCGCTGCTGGAGTTGGCAGGGCCCGTGCACCGGAGCCGCCTGGTGCGGCCCATCTGCCTACCGGAGCCTGCACCCCGGCCCCCCAATGGGGCACGCTGCGTCATCACCGGCTGGGGCTCCGTGCGAGAGGGAGGTAGGCGAGTCCGACACTCGGAGCCCGGCCACGCACCCTCGGGGGGCATCAGGAAGGCCTCAGCCTGGTCACGGCCTACCGCCCGTCTCACCACAGGCTCCATGGCCCGGCAGCTGCAGAAGGCGGCTGTGCGCCTCCTCAGCGAGCAGGCCTGCCGCCGCTACTACCCCGTGCAGATCAGCAGCCGCATGCTGTGTGCCGGCTTCCCGCAGGGCGGCGTGGACAGCTGTTCGGTGAGCACAGTTTAACACTGAAACGGGTGTTCTGCCGGGGGAAGGGCCCCATCCATCCGGGAGAGCACGTTCTGGTTGCTCTAAAGCCCACAGCCAGGACCCACTCTTTGGTGCACTTAAGCTGATCAAGCAGGGAACCGTTTCACCCTTAGATGTTTCAATGGACCACTGTTTATTGGGCATCCATGACAAGCCAGTTTCCACCCCACATCCTCACCGCTGCCCTGCAGGCGAGGAATGGGAACCGGCTGCATGCAGTGTAGGGCCGTTCTACTAGGAAACCTGTGGCAGGTGCTCACAAATGTCTGCCAGACAGATGAATGGCTTGTCCTGGCATTAAGCCCATTTCCCAGATAGTAAAAGTGAGGCTCACAGGGCTACTCACTGGGGGTCACATGGGGAGCCCAGGAGACTCCTGTGGAGGCCAGCCACCCAAGGTGTGCAGATCGGGTCAGTCCTCTCTTGCCCGAGGGTTGCTATGGGAGGTGGGGGAAACTGGCCGGCTCTGAGTGCCTTTCCTCTCTCCTCCCCTCAGGGTGATGCTGGGGGACCTCTGGCCTGCAGGGAACCCTCTGGCCAGTGGGTGCTAACTGGGGTCACCAGCTGGGGCTATGGCTGCGGGCGACCTCACTTCCCAGGTGTCTATACCCGGGTGGCTGCTGTGAGAGGCTGGATCACACAGAACATCCAGGAGTGACCACCCATGGCTGTCCAGGCCTGGGAGGACAAGGCAGTAGGAACCAACCAGCCACCAGTCCGAGAAGGGGGAGTCCAGTCCAGACGGTGGGCCGGGAGTGCTGCGGGCAGTGGGAGTACAGTTTTACTGTATCTTTTGTTCCAATAAAAAGCCCCTTGTCCTTAACTTACTGGCGCACACACTTGCACATCACAGCAAGAACTACTTGCCTGCCCATGACCCAGGGCCTAAAGTTGGGATGAAAGGTGGGTGGGGTGAGGTAGCAAGACCTCCCAGGAAGAGGGCTGCCACAACCCCAGCCTTTGGGGCTGGAGTTCAGCCTCATCTTCAGGGTTCCTTTGGTGTCATCCAGTGAGCCAGTAGCAAGCGCCCAGGGGTTAAAGGGTGGGGCGGGGGGCAGAGCCTGAGGCTCAGTCTGGACAGGGGGACCCAGGTACCCCAGACACAGGCCTCCTCCAGGGAAGACACACAGGACTCTCTCCACCCCTCCCTCATCCATTTATTTGTCAGCCCACCCCCAGGAGGTCACAGCTCACCCCCAGGAGGTCACAGCTCAGGTGGGGTCTGACCATCTCCCCACCCCCCAGGCCCACAGGAAGTCTACGGCTCAGGCATAAAGGTGACCCGGGCACACCAGGAAAGGTGCCACAGCGCTGCCAGCACTGTGGGAAATTCCAGGATCCCCAAGTCCCCAACTACACTCGCTGGCAGGTGGGAGGTCAGCGTGGCCAGGGGGAGGGGGACAAAATTCCAAGTGTCCCAGCACCAGTCTCATTCTCATAAACCACGGCAGGCAGCACGCACACGCTGGCCCCTGCCTCACAAAGCACATTTATGGAAACCGAACACGGGTGGGGGCGGCCCACTGGCTCGGCCAGGCACCGCATTTCCCGATCACATGTTGGCTCGTTCTCGCTGCAGCCGCGAGTTGTAGGCGCGGGATACGGTGTTCCAGGCGTCCATGTAGCGGTCCATGCACATGGCGATGCATTTCTGGAGGCGAGGAAAGCGCAGGGATCAGCTCAGGGTTCCCCTGACCCGCGCCCTCTCCCGGGGCAGCGGACTGCGCACGCGCAGCGGTCCCACCCGGCTGCCCCCTTAATTCGCGCACGCGCAGAGGCCCCTCGCCAGTCCGAGCCCAAGCCCCAAGGGTCTCACCTGCTCCGAATTGTCCAGAGAGCCCCCCGGCTTCCCGATGCACTTCCGGAAGCACTTGTCCGTCATCCTCTGTGGGGACATGCGAACCCTCAGCCGCTACGCCCGCCTCCTGGCGGCCCCCGCGGCCCTCGGCCCCCGTCCCCAGCCCGGCCCCGGACCTGCAGCAGCTCCTGCGCGTTGGCCACGGCGATCTGCACCTTCACCTGCTCCATGATGAGCCCAGGGTCCAGCTT